GTTATCTGTACTTCAGGAGGACGTAGGAAAAACTGCAGCATTGTCTCATTTATTGTGCACCACAAATAAGATTTCCAGTTAGAACCTGGGCTCTGAGCATGCTTGGGTCTCTGAACTTGGAAGTTACAAGCTTCGCCCAGGCTTAGGAGCCTGATGGAAAGGCTGCAATGCCATTCTTACGGCAAAGATTCAGACCAAATTTAGGTTTTTTCCTGCTTTTGATTGTGATTAGGTGGAACAAAACATGCTTGCCAGCCGTACCTTCCTTCCTTGAGTTTGGGACGTTGCGATACCACATACCGTGGACATGCAGAAATGTTGAGCGCTCTCCAGGTGTGACTCAATCCATACTAATGAAGTGAGATGAGAGGCAAGCACGTACTCTCTTCCAGTGCCTTATGGTGTTGTCTTCACCTGAAGCTTCCCACTCGGTGGGCTTTTGCTAATGAAGTAGCTGCAAGAACTGTTGTGCCAACATGGCTCTGTCAGGAATTGGTGCGTAATGGTTTCTGCCTCTCTTTAAAGGTTTCCCGGTGGTGAAACAGCCATGAAAGTTGGTTCATGCAATCGCACAGAATGTCCTGTAACTGAATTTGGGTAGGCTAAAAGTCACACTGCAGTTTCCCCTACCCTGGGTGTCCTCAGAAATTCCCCTGAAGTGTTGCCCACCCCCTCTGAAACAGTGCGGACACTGGGCCATTTGTTAAAGCTCAGGTGGGAGCTTTAAAAATATTCTGGAAAACAAATTTCCCTTTTGTTTCTTGAATGTTGCCTTAAATACTTCCCTACTGGCAAGTAGGCATGCTTTCTGTTTTTTTTTTTTCTGTCGCTTTTCATTGGCCTTGGTGCTTGGCATTTGCTGATCTGGTGAGGTTTAATTTGGGAAATTAATTTGTCACTCGAATCTGCATACAATGGCAGTGGTGTTTCTGATCCCCTTTCCCAGAGCTGCTCTGCTACAGTCATGGTAAGGCTGCCTGGAGCCTTCGGATGCAGGTGCGGCCTTCCCTTGGGCCGGGCTTCTGCAGAAGCAGGGTGATGAGCCAATCTGCACATCTTTAATTACTGCGTTTGTTAATTGCAGACTTTGAATCAAAGACGCAGCCATGAAAGATCCAAGTCGCAGCAGTACCAGCCCCAGCATCATCAGTGAAGATGTGATCATAAACGGTCATTCTCATGAAGATGACAATCCCTTTGCGGAGTACATGTGGATGGAGAACGAAGAGGAATTTAACAGGCAGGCAAGTCATTTTCCTCTGTAAACGTCTTGTGATGTGCTTCACTGTTTTCTAGCTGAAAGGAGAGGTGCTGTGGCTTGGCAACGGGGGTATAAGACTGGGCTACAAGTCCTTTAGAGACAGGGTTTTTAGATAGGCTTGCTAGAATAATGGGGGGGAAGAGACAGATCTCTGTTTCTCTGGCAATGAATGCCTATTTTCTGTAATCTTGGTGGAAAATATGGGAAGCGTGGCATGTTCTAATGCATCCACTAATGCCCTACTTCTCTGAGAGGGAGGGAGAGAAAAAATAGTTGACAGACTTCATGTGGCACTTGGGAAGGGGCAGATCTTGCTAGGCTGCTGAGCTGCAGAGGTTTTACATGTGCAAACATGCCAGCTCTTGTAGTTCTGAACTGGATGCATCCAGGTGCTTACCTGCCTCGTCAGCGGGGCTGTTGTTCCTGAGGCAGTTGGTGGACATAGCTGTTGGGTGGCAGTCCTGTGTGTTGCTTAAGACTTAAGTGTCTTGCAGCTGGCCTTCGCAATCGGGTTGGAAGGAAGCCTTAACTTCGTCTATCACCTTGCATCTGGACGCAGTTTTCTCTCCTGTGGAGGCTGGGAACAGCCTGCCTCTTTCCACCGCCCCTTTCTTAATCAAAACTTGGTCTTTCTACTCAAGCAGCTGCTTTCTCTGCACTCCAGCATGGTACAGCTGTGCTGAAGTCTGAGCTTCTGAAATAGGATATGTCTGCTGCTCTCTCTTTAGGGTGCCAGCAGGGCACAAAGCTAATCTGAAATTCAGGTTGCTCGCAAAAATCTAAATTCTCTTGTGCATACGCCAGGACAGTCTCAGTGTTGTTTCCTGTTTGGTGAGTTTGTCCTCCTGGGGACTGTACTGTAGTTAGCATACGTGATGTGTAGTTCCTGGGGAAGGAGCTGAGAGCTGTGCCGTGAATAAACTATTTTTCAGGTATGTGCTCCATTTTCAGAGAAGAGGAAAGGTGGGAGCATGAGGGGAGAATGGTCTTACTCAGGCAGGCGAACGCCCGCCTGCGCCCCTGCCTCTGCAGGCACATCTCTCTGTGGGAACCCAGACAAGTTAAAACTTGGGCTGGAAATTACCAACAGGCAATATTAATTTCAAGACACTTGGGGAATGAAACATTATTTAGTACTCCTGGAGCTGCCATTGGAGGCACCTGTAGGTGTACAACCGTGTAACAAAAAACCTGGAGCCAGGCAGCCGCTGCTGTAATAGTAGCTTGTGGCTGGGTGCCCACGGCTGCCTTCTACCCGCACGCAGGACAGAGGCAGTGCCTCGCAAGCAGGATTGATTGGAGACCGCCGTCCTTGCTGGAGTACTTCACTGGGGAAGTCAATTTTCACTAGGGAAGTCAGCCAGTGTTTCGTGTTTGAATTGTCTGAACAGCGGCTTAGAGCATACGGTGATGAGTCCCTGTTCCCCAGAGCTGTGCATTTTGAGCACCAGGTGAGCTGGTGAGTGTGTTTGCCCCAAGCACAGGGAGCCTAGATCTTTACAGCAGTCCCCAACACTGGCGTGAAATTTTTTGATTTGCTATTTGTGGTATGAAACTGAATTTCCACTCCAGGACTGAGTATGTGTTTGATTTCAGAGTGAAGGATAGATAGGAAAACTTGTTTGAGCTTCCACTGAGTGAACTTTTACATCTGTCCTGCGTCATTTTTCCACTCCCTTACATCTGGCAAGTCATTGACACCAGTTTGTATTTCCCTGCTTTCCACTCGTAAGTACCATAATGCAGGACATGGAAAATTTGTCAGGATGAACTCCCTCCAAAGCTTGCTTGCTGAACAACCAAGCAAAACTTTCCTGTAGTCTTTGCAATGCCTGTCAGTTCTGCATGAGTTGATGTGTCCTGCTTATAGCACAGCAGGTCAGCATCTTAACAACTGCTAAGACCATGTGGCGTTCCTTAGGGGAACTACACTGGGCAAACGCGTAATCTGCAGCCGAGGAGATGCTGCTTCTTCCAAGTGACAGGCAGTGGTTATTCCCAAGAATCTTGCAGGATGCTTTCCTAGGGAGCGTGCCTGGCTGCATGTGTTGTCCCCTGGTTCCCTTCCTTGTACTTCCAGCGAGTTCAGTCCAGACTAGTTGGTACAACTGAAACTTTCACTTGGAACCAGCATTTTCCTTCTCCTTCAGCTCGTAACAAGCTGCAAACGAAAAAGGGCTCATGCTGGGGGGTTCTCCTGCCATTCCCTCTTGACTGCAGCCCAAGTTCCCAGGACAAAGCACTTTTCTACATTAAAAAATCAAAGCGTGGTGCTCTGCTAGAAGTCCTATTGCATAGCTAGCAAGAAGGTCGGCTAGGTGCACAAACCTTGCAATGAAGACACCAGTTCTCGGTAAGTTTGTTGATGAAGCAGTTTCTTCTCATTGTATGCAGATCGAAGAGGAGTTGTGGGAAGAAGAATTTATTGAGCGCTGTTTCCAGGAGATGCTCGAAGAAGAGGAGGAGCACGAATGGTTTATTCCAGCCCGTGATCTCCCACAAACAATGGATCAAATCCAGGACCAGTTCAATGACCTTGTTATCAGTGACAGCTCATCACTGGAGGATCTGGTGGTAAATTCAGTTGCTCATCATATTTCTAAAGCTTGACATCTCTCTTTGTCCAAGGCTGATTTTTCTTGCTGATAATGGCAAGGGAAAATCCTTTATGCTTAGGCCAGAGACTCTTAAACCACACCTGGCTATGGTGGAGGTGGAGGTGTGGACTGGTTGGGTAAGGGATGTAAAAGATGGGCAGACGAGGTGCTTAGGTTTAGTAGTGGACAGGTATGGTTGGACTTGGTGATCTTAAAGGTCTTTTCCAACCAAATCATTCTGTGATTCTAAGTGATGTGACCTATACAGTGGTTTTCTTCATAACCACATGGTGCCTTTCCTAGCCCATGGCATAAATTCAAGTGGCTTTGGGTATGCGTAGTATGTTTAAAAAAAAAAAAAAAAGGCAGTGAGCGAAGCACGCTGACCCTGTGAAGTGTCATTTGGTGACAGGACTGCAGGGGTTTCATTCAGCATCTGTCACGACTTAAGTGTTGGGTAGGTATGAGCTGTGTTCCCAGGTCTGGTTTGGATCATGCAAACCATGGCAGGTCTCTCTTCCTATGGAAGAGGAAAGCAGCTAAGCTATGATTATTTCCCTGTTTCTTGCTGTATGACTTCTGTCCAGAACTTAACTAAAAGGAGAGGGCAGCGTGTACATACTGTCCCTAACAAAATACGGAGTTACTGATACAGAGTACAAAACCCACCTCATCGTGTCACATAACTGCTGTACTTTTCCACGCTTAAGCAGCTGCGGGCAGCGGTTTTGCACTCAGTTAAGAACACAAAAGCCTAATCCTCCATTTCTTTATGATAAAGAACTCGGTTTGGAGATGCTGGCTGCCTACCCGTGACTGCAGGACGTGGTAGAGCAGTGGCTTGCCACGTGGGAGGACGGGGTAGTCGCAGACACAGATATTTAAAAAATCAATACAATGCTCATAGACATTAAATTCCCAGAAGTGGCTTCAGTTCCTGGAACAAGTTGCCTCTTGCTTAAATAAGCAACATCTGAAAACCTCGTGGCACGTTTGGACAGCTCAACTTCAGAAAGAGCTCTTTCGGCATTAAGCAAAGTCGCCGTATTTGATGCACACCTGTGGTTTTCTTGTTTTCTTATTCCCTGAGCCCTTTTCTGACTGAAACCTCCAGGTGGTGCTAAGGAAGGATGGGTCATTCGGGTGCCAGCACGGAGGAGTGGGCTTTTCTAGTGATTGTAGGGACTTTGGTGTGTGCAAAACCCTTGTTACACGCCTGACTGTTACTCTGAATCGTTAAACCCTTCCTAATGCTGTCTGCCTAGAATTGTGCTCGGCTTGAAAATGTAAGATGAAAACAATGCTTCAACCAGGCTTCTGTTTTTCCCTTCCTCAGGTCAAGAGTAACCTGAATCCAAACGCAAAGGAGTTTGTTCCTGGGGTGAAGTACTTAAATATTTGAGTAGACTGGGCCCTCTCTTGGTGGATGTAGCACAATTTCCACACTGTGAAGCCAGTATTAGAAGATTTAATTGTAAAAGCTCTCTCTTCTTGTCACTGTGTTACACTTATGCATTGCCAAAGTTTTGTTAGTCTTGCATGCTCAATAAAAGTGCTGAGACTGTTATTAAGTAAATCTGTCAAAATTTTAATGGAAACATAATTGGGCCCTGGCTCTCTGCAAAGGAGATGGTGAGGTAAGAAGCACCAGTCAAGTTGAGACAAAGTACCACGTTTATAAAACCTTCTGCAGACTCTGTCTTTCTAACAGGACTTGGAATTCGCTACGGATGGTCTGTTTTTAACTAAGGATGTGTTAACTGGTGCTAGTCAGTGCACCTGATAATGCCTTAACTTAAAAAATGAAAGCAAGGAGATCTGATTGTTATGCAAATTAGCTGACTTTCCTTTGAACTATCGCTATTGTTACTAATGTTGATTTTTTTTTTTCCCCCCTTAAAAAACTTCATGCTCCTTTTAAGCAGCATGAGCTGTAACAGAAATTTTACAGACCTGTACAGAGTCGTAGATCTCAGCTACTGAACTAACACCCGAGCGATTGGAAGGAAGAACCCCCCTGTACTTTGCAGCGTGTTATCATGTTAGAAACGTTTCGCTTCCCGATTATGTTAAAGGAGATGTGAGTTTCATCACACTTTTTTCCAAGAACCCGGATACGTACATAGCACTGCCTATGTAACTTTTAGCATACGACTTTATTATAGCTGGATTTAACCAAGAAAACCCTAGCATTAGTGATTTGAGTGGTGCTTTTCCCTTGCTTTGTTTAATCATCACTACACAATAGTCTACAGCACAACAACTTTTTGTTTTTTTTCTTTTAATAAAGCTAGAACAGTTTTGGCTTCTTAAACTTCATATTCGAGTAGGTTAAGCTGCCATACGTGTTCAGTGTGAATAGTGTTTAAGTTGAAAATATTGTAAAAAAATTATATTTTTTCAAAAATATTTAAAAAAATAAATAATAGTAGAACTGATGTGGTGGCTGTCTCGTGAATGTGCATCTCGCGTGGAAACTCCCTTGGCCAGCGTGCGGAGGAAGGGGATGATGTTATGGATACGGCGCCTCTGGGGTGGTTTGTTGTGCGACAGCCCAAAATACTCACCCGAGGTTGGACTCTGACTGCTCTTCTCTTTCTTTCCTCCCGCTTTACGCGCTTGCCTGGGCATATTTTCCTTCGTTCTCACCGCCGCTAATCCCAGTTGAGCTCCGCTGCTGCGGGCGGCACGGGCAGTCCCAGTTAACAGCTGATGGCTCTATATAAAGCCCGCTGCCTGGCGCGCGCCGGCCCAGGCTTTGGCACGGCGGCTGGGGTGCGCTCGCTCCCCCAAACCCGAGGGAGCTGCAGGAGGGCCGGGGCGAGTTGCGGCAACGGCCTCCAGCAGCCCTCGGGCACGAGCCTGATCTGCCCTCGCTTCACAACCTTGTCCAGTCTCACAGTTCATATCTTTTTTTTTTTTTCTTTTTCCCCTAAGCACTGGGTAAACCAAATGGAAACGCTTCGGAAATTCCATGCTATTGCAGAACGGGAGGAGCGAGACGAAGCCTTCGCGCAGGTGTTTGCCTGCAGCGTAACCAGGTCGCTGCGTCGGTCTTGCCCCGGGTGGAGGGAGCCCTCCGGCAGTTCAGTCGTTCAGCTCTCTTTGCTGTTGCTCTGCAAAATGCTAATGGCGATGATCCCGGGCTCCTCGCCGAGCGTTACCTTCCCCCTTCCTGCCCTTCCCAGGAGCAGCAAAACTACGCCAGCGCTTCCACTGACTTGGGGAGTAGCTTGGACTCGAGCACCTAAAGACAGAAGGTCGGGAAATAACGTGCCACTGTGCCCCGGCTTAT